TCAATCGGGGAACTTTTCCGGAAAAATTTTGTTCCCCCGTTAAAATCGAATTGGCCAGAATCGAATGCGCAATCTCTTGTTCGTTCGAAGTTTTTTTTTATTCGTCAATTTTTATTCCGAGTTCCGGTGTAGCTTGAAAAAAGATCATTTCGGGACAACGAAGAGACGAATTCGAAGTTCCGTAAAATGCAACTGCGTGAAAGATTGGTACAGTTATTTTACGCGAGTCATTCTCAAGCTTGTACTTGAAATAATACAAAACAGGTCGAATAAAATATTATGTTAAATAACAATTAAATATGTAGCATAGCTATATAATATAATGTATAATATAATACATTATACATATATTATAATGATATATTACATGTATATAATATGATATAATATATAATATGTAACATATATATCATAACAATTAAACGCGATCGCGCATGCAAAAATACATGTAAATTTTCGAATATACTGAGACATATTTTTTTCTCCGACATATAATTGTTTACGAGACGAATATAATTAGTTAACGTTCGTTAACGTTGGTTGCTTTAAATTAGTACAACAAAAAATATAGCAACACGATTGACCCGCCATCTCTTGCCTTTTGTTTATCGATTTCGATCATCGATTATTCTCGATCATCGAGAACGTATGATAGAAAGACAAAATTTGTTGAATCGAAATTAATGATTCGATTCAGTCGAGAGACCACCGAATAATCATAGTTTCTTGTCACAAATATATAAGCGAGAGAGAATAACGATACAATATATATAAAGAATCACAAATAAATAGAACGACAATTCCAACGATCGAATTTTCACGAAACGAAACACGCGTCAACAATGAAAAATATATCGGCGGACCTACGCCTATATAGGCCCCAAGAAAGTCACTATATTTGTTTCATCGACGACACCGGGTATCTCGAAGCTAAACAATCGAATCTGTCAGATATATTTTACAAGTTACGAAGAGACGAAATTTACCGCGTGAGATGCTAAGAAGACGTCGAAAAAGATCGAACTGGTACGATATTTACAGCAGAATTTTCGCATTTCGGTATATCGTTTTAAATTACAAAAACCGAACATTGAAATACTATATAATAATATAGTATATATAATATAGTATTATATATAATATAATACTATATAATATACTATATAATATAATATATATAATATAATAATACTATATAATTTACATTGTAATAATACTATCAATTTCATTATTGTCCGCGTATCAGTCGCAAGTCCGATTGTTTAGCTCCGACTCACCCGATATTATGTTAATATACCAGTGCTTAATAATATATAGACAGTAATTTCTCCCTAATTCGCGCTCAAATTGTGCCCAAAAATGGACAATTTGAGAAGAGGAGACACGATTATTCGATCCTCGTGCGGCCCGTTTTTATCGAATAATCGTATCTCCTCTCCCCAAATTGTCCTCTTTCGTCCATTTTTCCGAGCGCGAATTTGAGAAAATTACTCTACATATATACAGGGTGTCCTGCAGCACGTGGGGGACACTCGCTTCACGAATAGATTCTACGCGAGAAAACAATGAAAGAAACAGTTCATACAAACGTGCGTTCCATTCGACTTTGTTTCCGAGTTGAGACGAGTTTTGTTGCGAACGTAAACAAATACAGCGCGCCGAGGAAAACAAAGTGAAACAGAACACGCGATTATATAAATTCTGTTTATCGTTTTCCTGTGTAGAATTTATTCCCGAAGCAGGTGCCACATGCTACGGGATACCCTGTATACATTTATATACATGTATATACACGTGTGTGTACATATATGTTGATATTTCGTATTGTGATCATTACCATAGTTTGAAGTCACGTCTAATCAGCGTCACCGTTAACGCACTCGTTTTCACAGTTGGAAACGGCGTTCCACGTCAAAACCTCAAATTTTTCACCTCGAATTATCGATTGCATAATGACGTGGCACAACGTGGACGAGGGTGTTCATTTGCACACGAACGCAGCCGCCGGTGTGTCTGAAAAGTTCCCGAATCAACTTCCCTCCGTGGGATTTGCTAGCAATGTTTATCCGTCTGTTTCGACCGCGGCGAAACGAGGCACTGCGTGGAGAGGCGAGGCGCGGCGTGAGGCAAGACGCGGCGTGAGGCTAGGCGCGGCGTGAGATGAGGCGAGGCACGACGTGAGGCGAGGCGCGACGTGAGACGAGGCGCGGCGTGAAGCGAGGCGAGGCGAGACGAGGTTTCGCGAGGCACGGCGTGAGGCGAGACGAGATGAGATTTCGCGTGGCACGGCGTGAAGCGCGGCGAGGCGAGACGAGTCGCGACGAGACGAGACGACGCTCGCCGACGCTCGCCGAACGTAGCGACGCCTGTCGAACGGAGCGATCCCCATCGAAATAGTTTATGCCATTATCGGCCGGATATAGAGTAGTGTGCCACACCGTAATTCCGCGGAGACACGCGTGGGAGAATAGTCGGCAACAATTACCAAACCTCATTCGGAACGATAATATTCAAGCGGGCTTTCGAAAATAAGAGGGGAACACGGGGAGACCGCGTTTTCGCTATTAGAAAACTTTTTTAGAGCCGGCCGCGAACGCGTCCTGCGTTGAATTATTCATCCTTGCTCGCGTGCCGTGCCCCGGCGAATGGATTTTCTGCAAATCTTTCCCGGCTTCTGTCTCGAACGGAGGCCTTTTTTCCTCCCCCGATTCGAGTCGCGTTCGACACGCTACTTTGTCGCAGCGTCAAGCTAATTGCAGCGGCGCGACGAGAAGACGACCGGCAATTTTTCGAGAACATATTTCCAAATCCGTTCCATCAAAATGTTTTAGAAACGACAGACTAGCTAAGACGTTCGCGTTATTATATTATCGACGGTTGACGCGATTTGCCCGGTTTCCAGTTCTCTTAAAGTCTAAGATTTCAATGGGGTTCTATTTCATACAATATACAGGGTGAGTCGTAAATCAGTCCCCACGATTTTTCAGCCTCTTCCGATGGTCCGGCAAAAAAATGTTTCCTATCGAAGTCAATTGGTATTTAACAGACGAGAAATTGCAATTGTTCAAATTTTAAAAATAGATTGATTTTCGATGCAAAAAAACGAAGTCACTATTATACAGAGTGTCCCAAAAATGTCTCGCAATCCGAGAGTAGGGGATCACTGAGGTGATTTGAAGCAATTTTTTCCTTAGCGAAAATACAATTCGCGGCTTCGTTTACGAGTTATTAACGAAAAACAGTGACCAATCAGAGGCGAGATCATTTGACGCGAGACGGCCGAGCCAATGAGCGGAACTGGGCTCCCGTGCACTCGTTGGCCGGGCCGCCGCGCGCCAGCCGAGCTCGCCTCTTGTTGGTCAGTGTTTTTCGTTAATAACTCGTAAACGAAGCCTCGGAGAACATTTTCGTAAAGGAAAAAGTTGCTTCGAATGACCTCAGGAACTTCCCATTTCCGGATTGCGAGACATTTTCGGGACACCCTGTATTTTTAAACGAATCTAGATAACTTTAACTTAGCAGTATCGTAGACGATGTCGAGATGAAATTAACGACCTGCTGTACGATGACCTCCGGATGACATTGAAGGTTAAATGTCCACAAATCGATTAAACCGCGGGTCGAAATACGACGGGTTCTGTAACCGGCGATTCGTTGAAACCGACTTTACTGTGTGCGGTAAATTCTCTCCAATTCGCGCTGAGATTCGCGCGGGAAAATGGAAAATCTGGGAAGAGGAGTTACGATTATTCGAGGCTCACGTCTCGTTTTCATAGTCGTCGAAAAAATACGATTTTAATAAATCGTATTTCGAAAATCGTAAATTTCATTTTACGACCTCAAAAAATCGTAAAAACTACGAGAACGATCCGCGAGGGTCGAACAATCGTATCCCCTCCACTCAAAATAATACATTTTCGCGGGCAAATTGAACGCGAATTAGGGAAAAGAAAGGCCGCACCGAACTCTCGGCGCTCGCGCGTCCTTTGCCGGAACTTTTCAAGCAGACCGTTCACGAAGCGCATCTCACCATCAAACAACCGCCTATCGTGTTTAGTTAGAGAGNAAACAGTGACCAATCAGAGGCGAGATCATTTGACGCGAGACGGCCGAGCCAATGAGCGGAACTGGGCTCCCGTGCACTCGTTGGCCGGGCCGCCGCGCGCCAGCCGAGCTCGCCTCTTGTTGGTCAGTGTTTTTCGTTAATAACTCGTAAACGAAGCCTCGGAGAACATTTTCGTAAAGGAAAAAGTTGCTTCGAATGACCTCAGGAACTTCCCATTTCCGGATTGCGAGACATTTTCGGGACACCCTGTATTTTTAAACGAATCTAGATAACTTTAACTTAGCAGTATCGTAGACGATGTCGAGATGAAATTAACGACCTGCTGTACGATGACCTCCGGATGACATTGAAGGTTAAATGTCCACAAATCGATTAAACCGCGGGTCGAAATACGACGGGTTCTGTAACCGGCGATTCGTTGAAACCGACTTTACTGTGTGCGGTAAATTCTCTCCAATTCGCGCTGAGATTCGCGCGGGAAAATGGAAAATCTGGGAAGAGGAGTTACGATTATTCGAGGCTCACGTCTCGTTTTCATAGTCGTCGAAAAAATACGATTTTAATAAATCGTATTTCGAAAATCGTAAATTTCATTTTACGACCTCAAAAAATCGTAAAAACTACGAGAACGATCCGCGAGGGTCGAACAATCGTATCCCCTCCACTCAAAATAATACATTTTCGCGGGCAAATTGAACGCGAATTAGGGAAAAGAAAGGCCGCACCGAACTCTCGGCGCTCGCGCGTCCTTTGCCGGAACTTTTCAAGCAGACCGTTCACGAAGCGCATCTCACCATCAAACAACCGCCTATCGTGTTTAGTTAGAGAGAGAGATAACAAAAAAAAGAAAAAAAAAGAAAGTGTGTTTCTCGCTGTAGAGAATATGTAAGAGCGTAAAAAAACAATCCCCAACTGATTACACGTTAACTCTTAGTATACCTCGGAAAAGCAGCATCGGATGACGATGATGACGGTCTTTAGTTCGTCCCAGCCGAGGAAGACGTTGACGGGGACGATGTCGATCGTATAAAATTGTCTGTGTTGTGTCCTGGCGTAGCTCAAACGATGGCCGATTCACGCGGCTTCAAGCCAATAAACCAGTTGTGGCAGAGCGCGGCAGTGTCGACGGACCCGGACTCGGAGTGCCTCTACGAAGAGATCGCGGGCCTCTCGGGGTCCCAGGACACGGAGCCCGGGCCGGCTGGTGCCGCGGTCGGCGGGGAGGCCGAGGAGGAGGAGGAGGAGGAGGAGGAGGATAGCGAGGAGGAGGAGGAGGAGGTGGTGGGGGAAGGGGATAGGCGGCAGAGAGGAGGAAGGCTCGATTTCGGAGCGCAGGTCGGCGGCGGTAGCAGCTGGTGGAGGCAAAGCAAACGAGCGGAGAGAACCGCGAGCGTCGGCGTCGGCGTCGGCGCCGGTGGCGCCGCCAACGGCCGCACCGTCAACGGCCGCGCCAAGGCTCACAAGAGCGTCGGTACTAGCGCGCGATCGCGCAGCAGATCGGCCGATCGGCCATCGAGCGGACGTCAGGACATCGTCAGGGTGGAGGAGGAGCAGTATGCCTCGCGGCGCACCTACGTGGAGCCCCGTACAGGCGCCGTACTACCGCCCGGCACCGGCCTCAAGCTGACCAGGGGGCGCGCGACCAACACCGTGGCCCGATACTTGCACTCGGCCTCCACCAACACAGATCACTACCACCACCACCACCACGGGCTGCGGGGACACTATCCCGCCGGCAGGCAGACCGGCAGGCAGACCGGCCGGCACCACCAGCACCATCACCCTAGCCACGCCGCGTTCAGTAATGAGACGCAGGAAGAGATACAGGAGGACGATGAAGCCACTCTACGGGAGTTGCTTGTAAGGTACGTGTCCACGTGCCCACGTCCTCACCAAAACGACAACCTAATACCACCGACCTCCAGACCCGTTCTTTCGA